GCCCCAAGGGTTTGGGGTGTTGGGGTGGTTGGAGATACACATGGAGAGCAGGCTTCTTGGCATTAGCAGATGGGACTGAAATTTGGCGCAGAGTCTGGAATGATGAGGAGGGGCCAGCCATCCGAGTCTCTAGAGAGGGCTCTTTAGTTAGAGGCAGTGGTCATGGTAAGGTCCTGAGGGGGGGCCAGCTTGCTGAGGTTGAGGGTGAACAAAGGTGACCAGTATGTCTGGAGTGGAAAGCACGAGGGAGCAAGTGGGGGCATAGGGTCAGAAGGGTGGTAGGGCCCAGATCTCATAGAGTCTTATAGGATTTTCTCGTGTGTGTGAAGATTTTCTTGTGTGTTGAGTGAAAGTTTACCTGCAAATTTGTTTCCCATTCAGCAGTTTCCCGTGCAAGAATTCAAACGGTTCTGTGACATTGGTTGCGATCCCATATGTCCGCACTCTCCTCATTTCCACCCCCAGTCCCTTTTGATTGCCCCGCCCCTCACCCCATGATTCGAGAGAGCAGGCAACCATGCTACCAGAGCATGGGAGGCTTTATTCCTTAGGAGTCATTTTTGTGGTTGCATGAAATGGTGAGAGCCCCAGGCATGGCATTTATGGGGACATTAATTAGTGGAGGGAGAAGAGTTTAAAATTTTGCAAGCACTGGAAATAGACTTGAAAGGGGGAAAAAGATAGACTGCTTTAATTTTCAAGGGGGTTTTATTGCTGTCTTTAAAAAATATTGGATAGATGAGCTGAAGGAGCCCGGATGGTATAGGGATTTCACGTTGGACTGCTAACCGTAAGGTCAGCAGTTTGAAACCACTGGCCGCTCTGCGTGAGAAAGATGAGGCTTCCTGCTCCCCTGAAGAATTAGAATCTTGGAAATCCATAAGGGGCAGTTCTATTTCGTCCAATAGGGTCTCTACGAGTCAGCCTTGACTTAATGGCAGTGAGTTTGTTTTTTGTTTGACCTTATTATTTACAGAGTGTTACTCTGTTCCAGGTACTATTTTAAGATATTCAATGTATTAACTCATTTAATACTAATAATCCTACAAAGTAGGTACTATTATTGTTATTCCCATTTCATGGATGAAGAAACGGAGCCCACTGAGAAAAAGTAGTTTGCCCAACATTCAGTAACTTCTTAAAAATTCTCTTGATCCTTAATCTAGCACTCTGTTCACTAAGACACCACACCCCAGGTCTTTGCTGGAAACCAGAGTTACAAAATCATTTAGACTTTTCCTCAACATATTCATTCATTTGTTACATCGAACTCCTGGCATAGCTGGACACCATCCAGCTAATAGCAGTGTCTGCCAAACTTTGGACAAACATGTACAAATTCCTATGTCAACATTCAGACAACCGCCTCCACCCGTGGACCTGTGAGGGCTCCTTTGCTCCTGTGGGTCGCATTTGCCCACAGCTAGCTGAACCACCTCCTCCTGCACCAGGAGGGACTCAAGGCACATTCACTGAGGGAGGTGTTGGCCACTCGCTCTCCTTTCCCAAGTGTCCCCCTTCTCATGCCCACCCCTTGTTTTGCTTCTTTGGAGCACTTTTTCTCCCACCTATTGAATGTGAGAGGTAATTAACATCACTGACTGTAGAGTTAGATAACCAGCCTTTACTGTCCTGGAAAAGGCTCTGCTTTGGAAGCTAATGACTGGTGCAGGGACCCAGGCTGAGGCTCAAACTCAAACTCAACTCCTTGATATCCAGTCTGCTGGTTCAGACTCTTAGTGGTAACGATGATGATGATGAGGAGGATGCTACATGGCAGAGAACTGGCCCCTGGGGGATTTGGAGTCTGTAATTCTTTATGGGGAGGGAGGAGCAGGGTGGGGTGGGGTGTTTGCTCTGCTCAGGAACATGCCTGCTGCCATGGGGGATGATTTCAAGCACCGAGCAGAAGATGCACCGGAGGATCCCTTGGGACTGCCCTCACTATTTTGTGTTATAACACAACGCAAGGAGCCCTGTTGGTGTATTGGTTATGAGTTGGACAGCTAATCACAAAGTCAGAGGTTCTAATCCACCAGCCTTATTGCAGGTAGAAGATGAGGCTTTCTACTCCGGTAAAGATTTATAGGCTCAGAAACCTATCGGGGCAATTCTACGCTGCCCAAGAGGATCCCAATGAGTACGAGTGGGCTTGATGGCAATGAGTAAATAGAACTGATCCTGTAGGTTTCTAGTGGAAGGGAGAGTCCATCAAAGGCCCTCCCTCGTGTCCTCACTCAGAATTAATGGCTTCACCTTCCTTCTCTGGTACCTCGGGCTAGCACACGGGGGCCCCATTTTTACCCTGCTGCAAGATCTCTGGTATATGCAATTACTAACAGTGCAACTTTCCCTAGTCTGATGGCTTCGCATTCACTACCCAACAACGGCTTATGAAAACATAGTTATTGAATGGGTGGGTGGGTGGGTAGGTGGGTCTCTTCAGCACTGGAACAAGTCTTGTGAAACGCAACATTTCTGCTCTCCTTTTTCTGGAACGTTCCCTCCTCTTAGTGCTTTCTTTTAAAACAGATCTGAATCTTGCCCAATTGCCCCTTATATGCTGAGCACGATTCCTATTCCCATAGCTTGGAGAAAAGAAGCAAAGGAGTGGGCAGCTGCAAGTGTTAACGTATGATGTCTCTGAATTGCTAGCAAGTTGTAAGAGAATTTGTGTCCCTTAAAAACTATGGCACTCTTTGAGCGAGTGCTTTTATTCTCACCTCCTCCCTTGAGTGGGCTCTTCAGTAGTTCAGTAATTTAACAAACGTGTAAAGAAACCAAAGGGAGGCTTTAGAAACTCAAGTGTGTCTTGATGCTGCACGAAAACAATGACAAAAAGGCGGCCTGGAAGACGTGGGCAGGCCAGGGCCTGGAACCAGAAACTTTGGTCCAAAAAGAACCTCTGAGGCCTGCAAAGTAGATTCTAATTGAGTATGCCTATGGTTGGCGTCTGCGTGCACTGATGACTTAGTGTTGATACATTGGGCTGCTAACCCCAAGGTCAGTAGTTCGAAACCACCAGATCCTCCAAAGGAAAGAGACGAGGTTTTCTACCTTTGTACAGAGTTACAGTCTTGGACTCCCACAGGGGCAATCTGGTCTGTCCTAGAATATCACTATGCATCAGAATCGACTCGAGGGCAGTGAGTTCGTTCTCTTTTTGGGTGGGGAGCCTTGGGTCCAGGGCTGGGAATGGCAGTGCCCTTGACCGCTAACTGAAAAGTTGGAGGGTCGAGTTCACCCAGAAGCACCACAGAAGCTATGTCTGCCAATCTGCTGATCAACACACCACTGAATCAAAAGCTCTGGGGATGGGCCTCCAGTCTATGTTTTAGCAATACCTCCAGGTAGTACAGGCATACCTCATTTTACAGTCCCGATATTGTGCTTTTTGCAGGCTTAAGGTTTGTGGTAATGCTGCATTGAGTAAGTCTATCGGCACCATATTTTGAACAGCGTGTGCTTGCTTTGTGTCTCTGTGCTCCATTTTGGTAATCCCCAAATACTTCAAACCTTGTCATAATGCTATTGTACATGTAATAGACAACAGTATAATGTACACATACATTTTATTTGCACTGGTAAAACAAAAAGTTCCTGTGACTTGCTTTATTGCAGTAGCTTTCTATGGAGCCTGCTGTATTTCCAAGGTATACCTGCACCGTAAAGTTTGAGAACCATTGCTAGACTGTTGGGGCCACTTAGAGAGCTGGACCTGAGAAAGGCCGTAGAGGGGGAGCTAAGCTCATTCTGTCACCTCTTTCCCTGGTGTCCATCTCATGCAGAAACAAGGCTGGTGCCCTGGGAATTCACATGACAGGGAGCATCTTCCTTGTGGGGTTGTGCATGCACACTTGTCCTCTGGGATCAAAGCGTGGTAGGCTCCTTAGTGGGCAGCCTGGGAAGGCTGTAGTTTATGCAGACTGGCTGGCAGATGTCTTAATCAATTCGCAAAGCTAGTGGTGAGAACCCCAAGGGACCCTTCCGTGGGGACTAGAGGAGGCTGAGCCAATCAGCAATAAGTCTTGCTGGAAGCTGGTGCCCAGTGAGCGGTGGGGATAAGAAGGGTTAGGGGGCCTCTGGGGTGCTGGGCAGGGGACGGGGAGACTCCAGAGCAGTCCAGGAAGGCAGGGTCAGGGCATGCTCAAACATGTCTGTTATCAGTGACCAATTTTCTCAGTGATATGTTAGTCTCATTAGGGACTAGAGAAAGGGGTGAGGTTGTGTATGTGTATGTGTGTTGTGGGAAAAATGATTTTGAAATCAGGGCTAATAATATATGTGAGGTAGTTTATTGTGCCAACCTGACTGACAAACACATGTGGGATTAATTGAAGGACCGAGAGATAAATGGCTCAGTGAGCCTCGCCTTTCTCGTCTCTCACTCTTTGATCATTGGACTAGTGTGTGGCTGCCTTGCTTGTTCTATGCCTCAATTTGCAAGCTACACTACCTGTGGGACACCTAACCCGTGGACTGTGTCACTGTAATTTGAGGTTCCTTCAAGACCTGCTTCGCCACACCATTGGAATTTACATCTCTTGAGCTGGGGATTGTTGGACCCTGTCATCTGCCTGACTGTTGGTGACCTGCCTTGCGTTTGCTGCCTGTGCTCAGAGAGCCTGAATTGCTCTACAGTGGACCACCCGGCGACCCTCAAGACTTGAAGGACTGCCAGTGTCTCACAACTGTCTCACAGGAGTGAGTTGTACTGAGTCATTTGTACTGCTTTATAATTTAAATAACCGTTTATTTCTTATGTTATCTATCTGTATAAATATACATATACATACATACATATATATATAAACTTATTAGCATTCTGGTTTTGTTTCTCTAGACAACCCTGTCTAACATAGTATGTTTAAATGACTCAGGAAGACCTCTTTCTAAATCACTGAAACTTGCGGCAAGTTGATGGGAAAACTCCCTCAGAGAAGACAACCGGGTTTTTTTGGACAGATCAGGTGCATTAGGAAGGTCAGAAGACCTCGAAGATGAGCCAAGAGAGCAAGACTATCAACTTCTATGAACCTCTATGGAAGAAGATCATAGAATTACCATTGGTGAGATAGCTACTGATGTTGGAATCTCACGTGGTTCAGCATTTCCCATTTGAAGTACACATCTTGGCCTAGCAAGCTTTTGGCTAGACCGGTGCCGAAGGTGGTGTGTAAAGATCAGCTAGCTCAATGAGCTGACCTTTCCATTTGACTTTTCAATTAAAATGAATAAAGATGATTTCATGGAATGAATCATACCTTGGACCAGTCTTGGGTTAACCAAGATCCAGAGAGCAAAGTCCAGTCAAATCAGTGGTTCCCAAAGGGTTGTCCTGTTTTTGCAGGCATTTGTGGAGGGTAAAAATCCCAAAGGTTGAGCCAGGTGCAGCTTGGTCCTCAAAGCGACATCTTTACTCATTAACACCTTAAAGAGGTCTTTTGCAGCAGATCTGCCCAACACAATACCTTGTTTGATTTATTGATTGCTGCTTTCGTGAATATTGACTGTGGACTTGTTTTAATTCTTTAGCCTCAACCTGAGCTTTCATGAGCAACTGGTGCTTTGTCCCACAACCTGGTCTTGGCTGTGACATTGAGTGTCTCCGTGGTTTCTCCCCACGGAGGTAGTTGATTTGATTCCTGTGACATTCATCTGGCGTGGTACAGTGGCTGCTTATGTTGCTGAAAACGGTATTTGCGATGAAAAAATAATTGGTCTTGCCAAAGTCTATTATGCTTCATTTTTATCACCAAGACCAGAGTCTCCAACTATTGATACTTGCTTCTTTTGTTGTTTTTAACGTTCCCATGCTAATCACTAGTAATTATCCATGCTTTTTGATTGCATGCTCGATCAATTTCAGACTGAAGAGATTGATAGAAGTCTTCAATTTCTCCATCACTGGAGGAGCCGAGAACCAAAGGACTCATTAATCTTACAGGTCGGGCTGCCAACCTCGTTCTGGGTCAGCAGTTTGAACCCCCTGGAGGTTTTACAGGGGAAAGAGGCTTTCTACTCCCATCAGGATTTCCAGTCTCAGAAACGCAGAGAAGCAGTTCCACTGTGTCCTTTCAGACCTCTGCGAGTTGAGATTGCCCCGAGAGCAGTGAGTCTTGGAAGCTTTCTGGAGCCAGGCAGGCTTTCTGGATGAACCCTGGAAAAGATTGCTTTCCACCCTAAATGAACAACACCACCTGCAGTCTTCTACACACTGAAAAAGAGTTTACCTTAACTAGTTAAAAAGGTTTGTCTTGAGCATTATAGTCTTTTAAGGACTATCAACATGGGAACAAATTTGAAAAACAACTCAAAGATTAGCTAGGGGGCAGTGACCACCTTTCGGGGAAGAACAACTCAGAAAACCAGGGTAAGAATGGTTTTACAACGGAAAGAACGTAATAAGTGTCACTAAATTGTACGAGGATTTTGTCCTGCTTGGATCACAATCAATTCTCATGGATGCAGCAGTCAAGACACCTCATATGCATGAGAAATTGGATATTGGATAAGGAAGACCAAAAATTCAAAATGCATTTGTATTGTGGTGCTGCTGAAGAATATCGAAAGTACTATTGTCTGCCAAATGAACAAACAAATTTGTCTCAGAAGAAATACAGAGTGCTCCTGGAGGCAAGGATGGCAAGACTTCATCTCGTATACCTTGGACCTGTTATCAGGAGCTACGAGTCCCTGGAGAAGGCCATCATGCTTGGTAAAGTGGAGGGGCAGTGACACAGAGGAAGGCCCTTCATGAGATGGACGGACACAGTGGCTGCGACAATGGGCTCAAACATAAGAACATTTGTGAGGGTGTCGCAGGATCAGGCAGTGTTTCCTTCTGTTGAACAGAGGGCCATTATAATTTAAAACTAACTCTATGGCACCTAGCACCACCATCAACAAAACATACACGTAGTGACTGTTGAACTGGTAGACGTCTTGCCCTGTAGTTTCTCAAGAACAGTAAAATTTAAAGAAAAATGAAAACAAACACGGAGAATGCTTCTACCTGGACGCACACAAGTCAAGGGGGCATGCCTTGAAGTCAACTCAAGGGTAAATGGTTCAAGTCAACTCAGTCCCAGGTCTTAGCTGTTGCAGTGTCCTGCTCTAGTGTGTCATCTTAGATTGGGGGTGCCAGTCTCCAACCTGAGGGCACCAGAGCCTGCAGGGACCCACACCCCGGGGGATGCAGACTGGCAGGAACAGTGCCAGCTCTTGCCTGAGTGCTTCAGGCAACATTCCCAAGGAGAGCTCTGCCCGAGTACTGAAAGAGAAAATGGCCCGCAGAGAGCAGAGGGACTCAGAATGAGCTCTCTAGACAGCACTCGGAGGGCTTTTCTCATAGACTCACTGCCTGAACCCCACCCAGCTCCCCAAGCCTGCCATCCCTTCCCTTCCTGGCGGCTGTCTCCTGGTCTGGATGTGACTTGGCCTGGACCTTCTCCTGTGCATGACCAGGGAGCAAATGGAGAACCATCTCATCTCCATGCCCCACATTCATGGGGACATTGCCGCCACCCTGCCATTAGCAGAAGGGATCTCTGTTTTAGGGCCAGGCTAGAATGGCTGATGAACCGAATCAGAGATCTTACTCTTTTCCTTCATACTCATTGGCACCCGAGGCAGAGAAACCTTGGGACATAGACTATTTTTGTTGAAAACAGAAGGGAAGACTGGGGTCCTTGGACAGTGTGGAATTACCCAATCCCACTCTAGTCTAGTGTGGACATTTTCAGATATATTTTTTCACCACATCTAAGATTTTGCTTCTAGAAATGACTGGCATATGTCTGTCTCAAACCCACAGCACCTTCCTGTAGGATCTCAAGCCTCTTTCCAGATTTGTAATTCCTGACAGTTATATAGTACCCAGTAAGGAAGATTAGCACAGGCTTAATTATGCTTACTGGCTATTCTGTAGTGAATAATTTCACATGTTAAATCCATCTGGAATTGGTCACTGCACATTAGTAAGTAAGCCCCAGGTAACCCGTGCCTACTTTCCTTATTGGGGAATCTGCCCCTGGTTGTGCAAGATGGATTACTAGACAGTCCTTGGTTTCGCTTCCCTTCCCTTCTTACCTGGGACAGGTAGTAGCTCTATTGGAGGAGGCCAGATTGAGAAGCAAGACACAGCAGTTGGTATGGACTGTGTAACTGACTGTCAGGGTAAGAGTGGCAAGTTATTTATTTGTGCATGGCCATTTAAAAACAAAATTAACCTGTTGACCTTGAGCGAGACTGACTCATGTTGGCCTCTTGTGCTCTTGAGTAGAACTGGCTCCATAGGGCTTTCTTGGTTGTCATCTCTACAGAAGCAGACCACCAGGCCTTTCTTCCACAACACCATTGGGTGTATTCCAATCTCCCACCTTTAGGTTGGTAGTCAAATGCAAACTGTGCCATCCAGGGATGACCTGACATAAAGCAAGGCATCGTAAGGCATGGGCACTCAGTGGACTGTGGCTTGAATGGAAGGGCTTTCCATTTATGGGATGGAAGAATAAAATTGGCATGCTTCAACCGCTTCTCTTGTGAAAACAACACATGCTTTCTAAGGTAGTTAGTTTATTGTGCCAACCTGGCCAATAAACACATATGGGGTTAACTGAAAGGCGGAGCGATAAATCGCCCAGTGAGCCTCACCTTTCTAGTTCTCTGGTCTCTTGCTTTCTGATGGTCAGACTAGGGTGCAGCTGCCTTAGCCAGTTCCCTGCTTCAGCTGGCAAGGCATACTTCCTGAAAGACATCCCTGAGGAGAAGCCACATGGACCTACCCCTATGCAGCCCTGGGTGCTGGAGCACCTGTGTGGAGACCCCTGCCAGCACTGAGATGCTTACACATTCACTGACTCAGCTTTCCTCCTGCAGTCGGCATCATAGTGTGTGTTTTGTGAGATGGAGGAAGACTTTGTGGATTGGTGTTGGACATATGGGTTAATGGGTTAATGTTGGACTTGTGGGCTTGGGAAGCACTGGGTTGGGATGTTTTCTTGATGTGCACTTAACCTTTATATAAAACTCTCTCTTATACATGAGTTTCTGTGGATTTGTTTCTCTAAAGTACCCAGATTAACACACTTTCCCAAAGCTGCAGGGATGGTTCAGGGTCATGGGGATATGGTCAATGGTTCAATCAATATTCTCATGTTTTGCCTGGTAAATTCAGAGGCTGTCTTTCTACAGTAGATAGACATCATCCAATGGGAAGGAACATCTGGTTGACCTTTGGTGTTAGGCCTGCCCAGTGGGTTAGTGGTTATGTGTTAGACTGCTAACCACAAGGTCAACAGTTTGAAATCACCAGCCCCTCTATGGGAGAAAAATGAGGCTTTCTACTCCTGTGAGCAGCTCCAGTCTCAGAAACCCAAGAGGCAGTTCTACCCTGTCTTACATGGTCGCTATGAGTCAGAATTAAATCGATGGCAATGAGAGGGAGGGCGCCATCACTCCATTCCTGCCCGCGCATGCCTGGTAACGGGGAGCCATGTCATGCCGGTCCTCAATGCCTTGTGAAAGAGAGGTCAGACTGATGGTCAGGGAAAGGGTTCAATACCTCTTTGTTCTGCTCATTCTGGAGCTTGCTGACTGTATTGACAGACACCAAAGGAAAATTATCATTGGCTGATTCTGACTCATGGCGACGCATGTGTTACAGAGTAGAACCTCTCTAGAGGGTTTTCTTGGCTGTCACCATGATGGAAGCGGATCACCAGGCCTGCCTTTTGTGGCACCCCCAGGAGGGTTTCACACCTCCAACCTTTAGGTTAGTACTTGAGCGCAAATGTGTGAGCTACCGACAGGTTTGGTATCAAATTAGATAGGCTAAGTTCAAGTATACTAAGAAACAACTCCCAAGCCCTAAAAGTTTGAAAAAACAGGCTTCCTTTCTGTGCTTCTTGCCCATTCTCGGCTGCCCCATAGCCTCTCTCCTCTTATAGCTTCCGGCCACTGGAGCACCAGCGTCCTAATTGCGTCCCACTGTCAGAAGGAAAAGAAAGAGATTTGGAAGAATTCAGGACGGGCTGTTGTCAGTTTGTCGCACTGTGGTGGCATGCAT